ATAATAGCCGTGCCGAAAGATGGCTGGTGATTCTGGATGAAAGTAGAAGTAGTCTACTTGCCTTGAACAGACTAAACAAGATGCTTTCGTCCATCCGACCAGGTTGGATGTCTTCTTTTTCTGGTCGGACGGACGAAAGCACCTTGTTTAATCTGTTCAAGGGAAGTAGACCACTTCTACTCTCAGTCAGAATCATCAGCCATCTAGCGGCACGGCTATTAAGCTCGAACTGTTCCAACTAATAGCAGCGGTGCGCGATCGATTCTGGTGCGATAGATGGCGCTTTGCGTTATCACATGCAGACAAACCGTACTTCCGGCATAGAGGTTCATCCTGATACTTTTCTTCATCCGTCCATATATAACAGACCAAGCCTACACCATGCTGATGAGTAGCTAAGAAGCACGAAACAGCTGTCCATGGTTGGCTGTCTTCTTTTTCTGGTGGGGCGGACCAAAGCATTTTGTTTTGCTTGATACACTAATTCCATCTTTTTAGATTTGTTTGATACTACTGTGTCCATTGTCCATTACTACTATTTAGTCTAAACGCAATTCCATAATGCTTTTGGGTCAGACAAGTTTTGCGAAACTAAATTGCTAAAATTTTTGGATTTGACAATCATTCTATTCTTTCAGTAGCTTAGCGTTATTTGGATCCTTCTTTACTTTCGTGTACAATTCATTTTTCCTTTTCACTGATGTAACCAAAGCTTTCGACATCCAAGGTGATCTTTAAATTTCATTGTGTTTAAGTCTTACTTCAGTTGTGCAAATCTCCATCTTTTCGGCAATTAGATTATTGAATTTTTGGATTGCTTCTTCTATTTCATACATTTGATAGACTTTATGAAAGCTTTCTTAAGTTTACCATGATCCAAGAAGTATTAATATTTAAGACTTGTATCGTGTTTTGGTTCATATTTCATACAACATTGGAATATAACAGGATAGTGAACAGGTATAGGTATTTCCAAGATTCCCGGTACATAACATGAACATTTCTTTGACCTGACAAGAATGAGGTCCATGCATGTTTCTAATTGGTTACTGATCCTTGTACATGCTTGAATAAGTGATCTATACTAATATGTAGCCGTTATGTTCAAATATTCATTAGTATCATCAATATCGGTGTCTAGACTATTGATGTTAATATCGCCAACAACTATATCTAAATAGTAACGCCTGTTAGGATGTCCAAAAACTCCTGAAGATTGGTACTAAATTGCGCTGAGGATTACGATGGAGATCTGTACAGTGCAAGATCGCTAATAGCCGTTTCGCTATCGGCGATTTGTGATTTTACTTCACATTATATTGTGATAACTTCTTCAGTAGTTCATAGATCCGCTGGTTTGTTACTTCACCCTCTGTGATACCCATTGCAAGCAAAGAACAGTCTTGACTCAAAAATTGTTATTTCACAGGAACACTTCTAGCCGACCGCACTAATTTTCACGAGTATCAGCACATAGTGTTTACGTTTGGCTAGAAAATCCAAATCAAATAGTTATGTGAGTTTTTTTTACCGAATTTCCCAATCTCTTCCAGTTTTACCATTCGTCTTTCACATATTGAACATCACGCACTTATACACTTTATACAAAATTATACAATTGTTCTTCACTTTTTTGAGGACTTAAATGTTAAGTTTCTTAGGAGTTCGCTTTAACATACACACCGTTCAATGACACTTATCACATTCCTCTAATGTTTAATTTTTACTTTTGTTTAAAATTAAATGTAGTTACCCGATATGTACTTTAATCTTGTATAGTAACAGCTTCAGTAGGCTTTAGTTTACGAGATAAACAGATTTTACTTTCTGTGTAATGTCAAGCTTCATATATAATCTAAGATTATAGAATGTCAATTTCAGTGTTCATCATGCATCTTGGACATAAAGTGACCTCTACTGAATCCCAACAGGAAGATATATTATTAAAACAGCACCTAAAATAGCCCCCTGGTTAAAAACATGTGGGTCAAGTGAGAAATAAGTATATTGTAATGTTATTGATATTAGCATCATATCACCTTTAAATTACTGTAGACATTTGATGTCAGTTGAAAGACACTGTGCTGGCATACTAGCTCGCATTTCAATGCGACCATTTCCCTCCATTACAAGCTTTCCTCTAAACAGTCCTCGCTACTCCCAAGTACAAATAACCTTTCTTTCTCTCCCTTGTCCATCTTAGAGAGCCGAAGGCACGCTAAGTACATTTTTAGTGAATACGAGTTGCTGGCATTCAGAAAATGGCCTACCCCATACCTCCGGGAGAATCGTCTATTGAATTATTCGAATGAATAGAACACCTGTTTATTTTGGAGCTATAAAAGCAAGACCGGTATCCAGAGAATTTACCTACTTCTGTATATACCCTGATCAATGCGTAATCGTCTACGTTGTTTTAAAATAGTTTCTGAAAAGGACAATGTTAGAGCTCTATGTGCTGTTTTGCAGGCGACATGGTAGCTAGTGTCTCTTACATGAAAATAACTGAAGCAGTATAGACCAGCATACAAAACATTGAGAAATCCGAATGCTCATTCAAATGATATTTCGATGCCTCTGTATAAAAATGTTATTATGTGCAATCTGGTGATATTTCTTGAATAAAGACTTGAATAATGATTTACAAATAGGGTCCGTACTATAATCAGGTACCATAACTGAAGAGAGTAACATAACACTTCCTACGACACTGCTAGTGCGGCGTGACTGTTTATCGGCAAAGCCTGTGTGCGCATATTAGCAGTGATACGTTATTCTCTTCCGCTTTGGTTCCTTAAAATTGTTCGGTCTTAGATGGAATGAGTAGGTGCAAAAGTATGAAATCGAAGTTGCACATAACTCTTTCATCTTCTGGCCGAAGACAGTCTAAAAAGCATCGCTGATACTGAAAGGTAATGTCCGAGCAATAAATTATAGATAAAAGGAACCGCATTCTATAGAGGCGCCTGGCTTGATTGAGTTGTCTCCAGTGGCGGTTGGCTATTGCTGTAGATGAGGTGCAGGTTTAATTAAATTCTCAATATGGTGTGACTTTCAAAGCAGATCACATCTTCATTTGTAATATATATTCAGGCTTTTCAAAAGCAAAATACTTCCTTCCAATTTCAATATTCAGGGAGAGGTGGTTTGATTAATCCTGATATGGGAGGTTGGATCTTTGGTATTGACTAGCCCTTTCGGTACCGCTGACGGCAAGTTCCGACAGGAAGAAACTTGTCCCTAGGTCCAGTGTCGGCTGTATACGACAGGGGTGAAACAAACTGGTAAAACCAATGTCGATCATTTACGACACCTTTAAAAATTAAACTTCTCATAGGGACCAGTGTCGGCTAAATCCGCTCAGCACTGCATTTCCCCACAGACCAATGGCTTGAGAATCCGACACTGTCGAACATGGGCGACGGTGGACGCTCGGGGGAGTTCGGCGTCGAACACGTGGAGCAGGCAAATCTACTTATTATGACTGGTTTGAAACAGTTTCGTGTTGTTATTGGGACATTGTAGACATAGTTAGTTTGTGTTTGACTCTTGTGTTGTTCGGTTCATTGTGCGAGATGGATAACGCTGAACCCAGTACATCTGACGGTCGAAAAGGACGAAATAAGCGTAAAAGAGATAATGCAGGTGCGGGCTATTGTGGGCTGACCCCGGAGGAAGTCCGAAATCTTTCACAATACCTTATGAGCTCCGATGAGGATGAGCCCGAAGATGCCTTTGCTGACAGTGGAAGCGAGTTTATTCCCAGCTCGGAAGGTGAATCTTCAGAGGACGACTACTTGCAAGTGTCTGAAGGTGAAGTTAACAAGCATGATTCATCTCAAACGCCGGTCTTGGAACCTGAGACAGCAATGGACGAGAGAATGGATATTATTAGAGAACGTACGAGGTTAGAAATAAAATGGACGGACAAAGAGTTTATTCCGCAAGTTTTTGCATTTGATAGTACTAATAGCGGATTAAGAAATGTTAGTTTAAATGATCAAAGCAGTGAAGTAGATTTCTTTTTGAGTCTTTTATCTGAAAATATTATGAACGTCATTGCCATCGAAACAAATAGGTATGCCATTCAAAGAGATGCACCTAAGTGGAAAAGCGTTGACATTCCAGAACTTTACGTATTTTTCGCTGTAACTCTGCTTATGACACGTGTAAAGAAACTGAATATCAAAGAGTACTGGACCCAAGATATCTTACTCAGCACTCCCGTTTTTGGACAGACTATGTCCAGAAACAGATATTGCGAGATACATCGCTATCTTCATTTCGCTAATAATGAGGAGGTAAAGCCTCACAATCGATTGGGGAAATTTGGAAATATTTTGACCATTCTAAAAGAGAATTTCAAATCCCAGTTTTATCCTTTCGAACATTTGGTTATTGAGGAAAGTATGGTTCTTTTCAAAGGTCGCCTCAGTTTTCGTCAATACATCAAAACAAAAAGACATAGGTTCGGAATCAAACTGTATGTCTTGTGTGATTGTGAGACTGGCATCGTCTTGGATTTTATAGTGTACGTAGGCAAAGGCACACAAGAAGATACTCGTGGATTGGGTGCTACAGGTGAAATTGTCAGTAATCTATTACAACCATACATGAACAAGGGTCATTCTCTTTTTACTGACAACTTTTATACCAGTCCAACTTTGTCAACATTTCTATTTGAAAATAAAACCAATTCATGTGGGACCGTGAAACAAAATAGGAAAGAAACGCCAATTAGAGACAAAAAACTTAAGAGGGGTGAATGTGATTGGAGAAGCAGTGAAAACATGTTGGTGGTTAAATGGAAAGATCGGCGAGATGTCACTATGCTGACTACACTACATGAGAATAAAATGGTCAGTCTTCCAAAGAAGGATAGGGTCACAAATGAAAACCTTCAGAAGCCATTATGTGTCTTGGAATACAACAAGCAAATGGGAGCTGTCGACCGAAGTGATATGATGATCAGCAGCATTGATTCAACGCGCAAAAGCATGAAATGGTATAAAAAACTATTTTTTCATACCATGGATATATGCTTATTGAATGCTCATGCCATGTATTTGACACAGAATCCAGCAAAAGTTCCACTGGCCACATTTCAACTTGCAGTGATTAGGCAAATATATATACAGGGTGACTTTGAAGTTGAGTCATTAATTTTCAGATAATGATTGTAGAAGGAAGATAAACCAGAATATGTGTGTAAAAATAAAAAAAAATTAAAAAAAAAATTTTACCTTGTTTTATAAAGTATCCTCCCGACAAGTATTTCAGTGCGGACCTGTATTTGATCGTGAGGTCCCCTGTGAGGTCTTAAGTCACCTGATTCACGAGCCCGTTGTACTACATTAACAAAGGCACGAGGGGTTGGTTGCACTCGATTGGGAAACCGATCCGCATAAACATGTGCCATTTTTTATTTCGTTTGAGCCACGCAACAGACACTATTCACACGCTAACCGACAGACACTGAGTGTATGCATAACTGAACTGAATAAAATACTTAATTGCAAAAACGTTCCAAATTCTTTCGCTTTTTTGTTTCCGATGCGATGAACTGGTAAGGCGGATTATATCCGTTGTTGCCAAACACGAGTACATGATATTATTATTGAGACAGGGCGGTACTCAAACTTCCAAAGGGCTATAACTTTGTTACTTTAATTTTACCAGAAAAATGGTAAAGGAAAAAAACATTTCTTTTGATCAGATCTACTCACTGTTAAAATAAATGACTCAACTTCGAAGTCACCCTATATATATATTTCTTTTTGTCTAAAAATAGTTCTATATTTCGATTTTTGCAGGTTTCAAAAAACAGCTTCGAGATCTGTTCACCTGGATCTTGGAAATAAAAGACTCGCACAAAGACATTTTCCCGATCTGGTTACAGTCAAGGAAGGCAGCAAATCGGCCTACAGAAGATGCTTTGTATGTTCCCACAGCAAACAAAAACCTAAGAAAAGAAAAGAAACCAAATATATGTGTAAGGAATGCGATGTTGGGTTGTTTCCAGCTCCATGCTTCAAAATATATCATGAAGAAAATCACTTCTGAAGTAAAATGTCTTTCGAGTTTTTTTGATACGATGTGCTCTTATTTTTGTTTTTTTGTCTTTAGGTATTAGTTCTAGGGCTTCAATTTTAGTTTTGATTGACCTTCTTTAGTTCTATTTACTACTGTTTGTGTTTCTAAGTATGCTTTAATAGAATAAAAAAAGAATTATACTGTTTTATGATTTCGTCGGATATAGCCGTCACCGGATCATATGACCATCCAAAAATTCTGGTCCAGCAGGCATGTTTTTTCGTGGACGCGTCGGTCCTGAAAGGGCTAGACAAGTCGTAAGTGCTAGGCTACCTAACATAGTAACGTTTGGAAACTAAACATTCTCTTCTAAAATGTAAATATGAAAAACGTTTACTTTACGAAATGTAGCGCTGGCTATTTATCCTTCTTGCAACTAATTTCATTAGCTCTGAAAAGTATTTCTCCAGCATTCAGTGTAAAAACTTTCTGTGTGTATACAAACCTGCATTCTGGTCTACATGCTTTTTACTTTGTAGACATACGGGTAGGTTCAGAAATCCAAGTATATAGAAGTTTTGTTTTTCCAGAAATCCTCCCAATGCTAATACAAACAATTGTGATCAGTTATGATTTATTAATTTTATTCAGATGTGACTTCCTAGTTTAGTCCGATGACGCAAATTTTAGGTGTGCCCATAAAAGTGATTTGTAGGAGCCACTGTTGTGGTTGATTTCGCGATAGTAATTGTTTCCTGTAGATTGAGATACTGCTCAACCAGCGGTGTTACCCAGAAAAAGATCTGGGAGGAGGCTCGGGATCCAGGGTTGTGGAGATAGAAAACTGCATACCAGGGGGGAACTCGCTTAGTCCAGGTAGCTACACTTCACAGAAGGTATAACATGCTGTAATATGTAGAAAAAGCGTAATGAGCTGTTGCGCTTCGGGAGGGGAAACTCCGAGGAACCCCAAAGCCGGTGTCCCTATACCAGAATAGGAACAGAGACGTGGGGTCTGTGGGCCAAGCTGAAAGTTCAGAGTTCCGCCCTTCTTTCTAATATCCTGGGGATTGGACCCATCCAGCGACGGCGACGAAGTAAATTATAAATGAATAAGTACTTCTTGATTCAATTTACAAATTAATGCATTAATCAAAGAAATTATCCTGGTTTTAGACATAAAATATTACCAGACATTTGAGAAACAAAATAATATTTTAAATTCCAATAGGCATTAAGAGTAATCCATGTAATTTTTTCTTATGAATGTGGAAGTGGAACAACCAGCGGGTACGCTTTTCAGTCGGCGGCGCGGCACCTCAAAGACAAAAACTGTATTTTGTGTTTTTGGCTCACCAAGAAATTGACAGTAGCTAGAAAAGAAGTCTTATTTTTCTATTTGACTCTTACGTTTAGTGGATTTAGCATTTAGAAGGCTGGCTATTATTACCTCGCATCCTAAGAAAGAAATTCGGCCTGATTTTTTGTTCATTTTCCTGTTGTGCTTTTTGTCACTGAAAGCAAACTGTAGCTAAACTGTTTTCACAAAGCTTTTTGAAAAACTTAGTGAGGCTTCGCTTTGAAATAATACTCCCAACTTGGGGGAATGGGACGGAGGTTTTTGTTAGTGTATAGTATAGAAACATTTTCACTGTATACTGGAAATCTATTTTAAATAACAATATGTAATTTTTTCAGACTGCTACGTGGCCCGTATTAGATTTTTATAAGAATGTTTTTGTTTATTTGTTACTTTTGTTTATGGATTTATACAGAGAATTCTAAATTGATTTATTACTTGTTTGTATTTTAAAGGATATTATTTCTGTTTCAATTGCATGAAATTGACTGCTTTTTTTATTATTTTATACTATACACTATGCACCGGCGGGCCATCGGCGATCTAGTTCTTTTCTACCGCTACACCAACCGGCTTTGCTTCTCCAAGCTCTTTTCCATGATGCCGCCGCGCGATGTGCCTGTCAGATAGACCCACCTAACTTTGGCGTCCCATCCTAACCGTGTCGAGCTTCGTTCATCCAGAACTGGGCGATACGACCGCTCTTTTGTCCCGAGAGTGTCGAGACTGTGGAACAATCTACAAGAGGATGCTTTTCCCAGTTCTACTAACTTTAGGCAGTTCAAAAATCGTACTAACAAAATTTCTTTGGGATCATCATAGCAGCCGCGGTGTTCCGCCATTTAGGCTTCTGCCTGCGCGGCTGCTTCGATATATAATGTATATATATTATACATATATACTCCATAATCATTTGAGTTTTATTGAAGCACTCACTAACTTATTATAACAAGAACTGATGGATTATAATTTATTGTTTCCCCAACCTACCTTTTTGGCTTATCAAATACCAAATATTTGACATATCATAGAAAACTTCATCTCTCAATCTCTGTTTGGGATCTGACCAGTTATTGAACAGACCGTCGGCAATGCCTAATCAGGGAAGCAGAAACACTTTGCCCTGTGACCTGTCTTTATGTAAAGCCTCCCTTTTTTTTCGAGTATAATTTATTGCCGATTTATTTCTTTCATCTCCTTTACCGCCGTCTGATGGATCACTCTAAGCAAATGCTAAACATACACGGTAATGATTACCGAAAGAACATGCGATAAACAGGTTACAATAACAATAAGAGTTTTGAGCAACCAAAATTCATAGAGACAAACACTTTAAGGAGTGTGTTTATTTTATATTTTCAACTCTTGTATTCTAACGATTTAAAAATAGGAAAGTTGATTTATCATTATATTAAAAATCGCCGCAAATTCTTTCACTCTCAAATCTGCCGTTGGTAATAAACGAATCATCAACTTGAGCATTTTATAGACCAATTGCTTATGGGTGAAAGACGAAAGGTAAGAAATCAAAGAATAGAATGAAGCTCTTCAAACGCTGATAATTTTCTGTGCGGATTCGTGTCGTGTAACGAGTGTGGGTAGAGACAGTTGGTTATGACTTGTTCACCAAAATATTCATACAGATCATATTGTAGCGAAATCATGAATCTGAATATCCATAATAGTAAACCAGGCTGATATGCATATTATTAGCGTGTAAGTACCAGCTTTACTTACACCCTTCAACGTAATAGATATACCAACACACATGCCGGTATACAATAATTTTTTTATGATTTACTGCCTGGAGACTACCAAGATATCCAAATGAAGGGAAGAAGGGTTACAGGCGGATGGTTCATCTGAATGGGTTCCCTACTTTTAATTTTATTGATTTCAATGCGCTGTTTGACATGTCATAGAGTAATTGCATTTATACAGGGATGTCTCAAATTCCAAATATGTTAGAAGAACAATAGTCGCCTTTACATCATTAGCGGAGCATCGAAATATTAGCACCCCACTTCCTGCTAGTTTCGTGACACGTAAAACAATACGGTGTTCTGCGATTTTAGGAATTTGTTTTAACGATAGAGTGACGCTACAGTCCATATCATTTCGCCACTACCTAAATGCTTATTGAATCACCTTAGGCGATGTTGCATTCCAGTATATTTGGAGGGCAGAAGATGAAGGAGGTATGTGCAACTTCGATGGCTTATTTTTGTACATCCAGTGGCAAAGAAAATAGAACACCCGTAAAAATAGTTTTATTTGAAAAATATTTTATATGAACTTAAACATAAGAAAGAATAGGCGATTGAATTTTGAAGTTAAAACATTAATTTGTTGCCTTAAGGCCTCTCGAGTGGGCATGTCTCTTCTGTGCAGCAGGACTGAAGACCGAGAAAGTCAAGAAAGCCGAATGAATTGAACGTTATTAAGGTAGTCCCATTGTCACTTCAGTAATATGGGGACCTGCATTATTGCCCATTGAGGAGCAGCTGCTCTTTTCCTAGGAAAGAAATGATTATTAAAACATCCTGGTAAATAATAATGTCAAGTAAAAATATGCCCTGCCATTCTGTCAATTGGACAACTAAACCTTATATTATATATTAAGTGACATATAAATCCGAACACCCAGTTTAAATGGTTTTATTTTAATAAAAGTTGGTGAATGTATTTATCTTACTGTAAATAACAAGTGAAAAAATTTTCAGCCTTATCAGTGGACATTCCGGTTTTTATACTGATTTTTTTAAATTCACTAACGCTCTAAAAATGAATATTTCAGCCGCAGTAAAGAATCAACGTTGGCGGATTTTGGTTCTTGACATCCTTTACGATCGGTTACGATGCCTAGAGTAGTGAGTTTGATAGGGGCCGTATACTGGGACTTCGGGAAGCTGGACTTTCTTTTCGGGCAATTGCAGTTAGAGTGCAAAGAAGTGTAGACACTGTGGTTAGGTGTTATCAGGCATGGCTTCGAGAAGGCCGTACGCAAAGAGCAAGGGGCACTGGACGCCGCCGTAGAACAACAGACCGTGAAGATCGCCGCCTAAGATTATTGACCTTAAGGGACCGTTTCTCCACTACCAGGTCCATTGCAAATGAATGGTTTGCAGAACACGGAAGACCTATTGGCATGCGAAGTGTTTACCGACGAATGAGAAGTTTTGGCTTGTTTTCATACCGGCCACACTGGGTCGTCCCTTTAACTCGAGAACACCGACGTAATCGCCTTGAGTGGTGCAGACAACGGTCACTCTGGGATCAGGAATGGAACAGTATTGTCTTTAGTGGCGATTCTCGATTTTGTTTAGGCATGCACGATGGTCGTGCCAGGGTTAGAAGGCGACGTGGTGAATGGAGGAATCCACAGTTTTTTGTTGAAAGACATGTTCATCACACTGTTGGAGTTATGGTTGGTGCTAGCTATGGTCCAGGTCACCTTTAATCTTCACCAGAGGTAACATGAACGCGCAGCGTTATATCCACGAAGTTCTAGAACCCCATCTTTTACCCTATCTTGACACCCTGGCAGATCCAACTTTCCAACAAGATAATGCCCGACCACATGTTGCAAGAGTCACAATAGACTTCTTTCAACATAATGATGTCACATCGTTACCATGGCCATCAAGATCTCCCGACTTATCCCCAATTGAGCACGTGTGGGATATGATGGGTAGGAGATTGCTCAATTTGCAACGTCCTCCTCAGACTCTAGAAGCACTTCGAGAGGAGTTGGTGGTTGCCTGGAATGAGATACCACAGGAGGACATTGACCACCT